AATTAGAGATACAAAACAAGAGTACATACATAACTCTAATTATAGAAGCTAAGTGAAATATTTTGCTCGATATTTTGTGCCTCCAATTCTTAATTAGACTAATTAGTATTAGTGAAGGTTCACCTCCTTATGTATCATCAAGTACCTACAATTTCTTAGAAATTCTATGCAACCAAATATCAACTGTAATAATGCAATTGCCGGCCACAATTATGAAATATAAGAATCAAAATTAACCAGGTTTTAAAATAAGACATTTAACATTAATAACAATCTAAGAATTAAAAGGTGATGTAAATCTTTTTATCACTTTTGATTAATAGGAAAATTGAGGATTTGGACTATGGATATATAGATTGTTGAAGGAAAATTATTGAATTCAAGATACAACATTATTAATATTATAAAGGCATTTTTTAATCAAAGGGGGGGAGGGGAAGAGGAGTATATTTGCACCAAAAATAATGAGTAATTGACAGTATTTTTAGATAAAAATGTTTGTGAGGTTTTTTGGGTAGGTTAGAGGTATTTTTGACCCTTTTTCGAAGCATATTCGTTGCATGGAAACTCTATGATCAAATTGAATCCACCTAGCAAAGCAAAAACAAAATGCTACAGGAAAGTAGGCACTAAAATCATATGATAATGAACAATTTAACGTAGCATGTACAATGAACAGAAGAACTAGTTCCTCCACCAATCTCCTTTTCTTCTGTCTACATCAACAATTTCATCTGGATCTCTCTCTCTCTCTCTATATATATATAGTCATAAAAAGAGAATACACATACACTACTTTCAACTGTCTTCTTCAAGTTCCTTCGCGGCAATAAGTGCTTCTTCACTGTCAAAGAATCCGATGTAGTCTAACGACCTGGAGAAACAGCATAACATATAATTCTTCTGGGCCTACTGCAATAAGATGTCAACAGCAATATGAGCATCCGAGTTAAGTCCGAGATATATAGAGAGAGAATGAGAAAGACGAGAATAAACTAACAATTATTTAATCCGGGGAATTCATGCAAACTTGCCCTCTCTAGAGTACTATCAACCACGTTCCTCGCCACTTCCACTGCCCCATTCTGATATTCTGCAATTATTAAAGTCACCCACAGTTGATGTGAGTTAAAATCACCCACAATTATTGTATTCCCTAACTCTAAAAAATAAACACTAAGATTTTTGCCTAGAACTAGACTCTCTTAATCCCGTTAGTCGAACAAACAAGTATCCAAATATAAAAAGAGATTCCTACCAAAGACTTGACCTGATAAAATAGTAACTCATGTATAGATTCTTTGCTTCTATTGTATTATGATCTGACATTAAATTCATATTGATGTCGAGATCTACAAGTCTCTCAAATACAACTTTCTATCCCTCTCTTCTTTTATCACCTTCAATCATCATGTTTTCGCACATACTGACCAATGCATGTGGAGATCTACATAGGACATAGAAAGCCAGACTCTCATCTTATCATGTGTTTTTTTGGGTCAGATGTGATAATTCTAATCTTAATGACCCCGTATGACTATATGTCCATGCAATTTTTAGGAAATTTATCTTGTGGATACACATGGATTTACATTACTTGCAATCACTCCCATATAACATCTCTGATCTCGCTGCTGTTGCATACAACTTGTGTTTCACTTCGTTAAGCGTTCACGTATAACACAACTGTCTTAGCACTCCTCCGTTTCCACAATCCTCTTTTAGCTTGTGTCACATCTTCATCAATCATATCATTCTCATCAAATATGAGAGCAAATATTTCCACTCTCTACATTTGGGCACCACTATCTCATCTAGTGATCTCATTCGAGTTGATCTTATTATAACTTGTAGTGAACATAGTTTGTCAAATTTCTACTTTTTATAGGTAGTTTGTTTTATTTCTAAATAACCTAAATAAAAGGCTAAAACTAGAGTTCTTTGTCATAGTTCCAACTGTTCCAACCTCAGTTGACTTTCTCGCTAATTTCACCAATTAAAGAGTATCATCTAAAATAAGCATTGATCATCCAACCTTTCTTCAGCTTATTCATAAGTGTAAAATAGTATTATACAGATCCCCACAATAAACAACCTTTCCCAGATACAAATTTATATCTCATCTCGTTATTTTCATACTAATATCACTCTTTTGTATAGTTCATTTCTGACATTTATATATTTTATCTGAATTTGTATCTTTTTTATCCCCACCAAAACCGCATTCTCAACCTATAAATTTCAATGAATATTTTTAACAAAAAAATAAACTCCTAACAGGTATAAATCCAAATCAGTTCTGTCGCCCTTGTAAAATCTCAACTTTCATATACCATGTAACTATACAAAGAAGATGTCCATTTATATGAAACATCACAAATAATGTGCATCACAACAATATTAAGTGTATTGCTCCTAATAGGCCAGTTTTGCATTAAAATACTAGACTTAAGTAACATTTGGAAAATATTGTAAAAGGATTTATTTGCTCCTAAATCAAGAGATCATTCCCTCCAAACCTAAGGGTATATTTACAGTTACAAGAATATCAAATTGGGAAATATATAGAATGATATTACCTGTTTCGTCAGCTTCACCCTGATCTTGTTCTCTGCATGCAGAAAAGATACTTTGTCAGAAGTGATAGACGCAAGGCAGAAAATTACCCCATTGATCCAAATAATCAGAGTAAGAATCTCGAGCCACTCACAAGTTTATATTTTATCCAACCTAATTCGAAAGACTTAGACTATTTTTTGGCAAGTGAAATATAAATCTAAGTAATATTTCTTTTTTCCTTTTGTGACTTGTAGGAAAAGAAACAATGAGTAATAATGAGACAAGGAGATGCATATCATCATATCAGCTGAATCAGGAGGTGTGAGATTCTCCAGCCAAGTGAAAATCCATAGATATATGTCCAGACTTACTGGTTTGATTGCGGATGATCAAGGTAAGGAAATAGCCCTTGTTGTACCAGATATTCCTAAAAGGAAAAAGAACGATTGTAAAAAAATAGAAAGGAATGAAGGAAGAACATACCCGAAGAATTATGAACACATCATGCTCTATGTCCAGAAACATATGAATAAAATCACGCGTCTTTTTGTTGAAGATGAATAAAACGCAAAAAAATTTTCAAAAAAAAAAAAACAATTATTTCCAGACAGATTTCAAAAGGATTCTCTTTTAAACCCTTGGTACCTCCAAATGGGCAATATAATGACTTTTAAATTATATAGATGAAAAATGTTCAATCCGGAATGTCTTATATTGTGCTCAGAAAACATGTTTGATGAATCAGTGACACTAAACAATAATATGACATAAAAACATACATCACGTTCAAGAAATAAATAGACATATTAATATTCTAATATTAATGAAATGATGATGAAATCATTTCAATGAACAATAAAGTCTGTAGACACATAGATAATAAAATCTGAAGTATATTTCTGTATTGACATAATAAAATCTGAAGGACAGTGTCTATCATGTCATACTTGACACTAAAATCTGTAAAGTTTATTTTTGATAAATTAACATTGTCGGAGCTCAGATTATTTAGATTAGTAAGAAAATGAATCTAAAAAAGTAATTGCAAGGGTTGAAAGTAGTTCAATGGTGTCCAATAAGAGAAACGAATAACAAATAGACAATATTTTTTTGTTTGATTTTTTCTGTTGCTATTTTCCCCTTTGTTTTTCATAGTAAATGTTTTTATTCTTTTTCCTTACAGATGCCCAGCATTAATATTTAGTGCCATTTCAGTAATCAGTACGACCACTAATGAGAATGGTTACACTAAGCCAGTAAGACCGCATCTACATTTTCAACACATAGAGACACTATATTTATAAACTCAATTGATTAGCCTGTGACCTCTTGGTGCATCTTTGACAATCTCTCTAAAACAATCTGATTCAAGTTCTCACTAGATCAATCTGCAAAAGCTCTTTCTGCACCAGTTCTACTAAGCAAATTTCTAATACTCCTTGAATTTCAATTTGTTTGTCCTACTTTCTTTGTTAGTCTATTTAAAAAATCTTTTTCATGTTATGACAACTCTTTTAGTTCTAACTTTTCACATGTTCAAGACCACAAGACAACAAGATTAAAAGATGTTATGAAATTCTACCTATGTTTAGTTTAAGACCACTCAAAGGTCTTCTTTACATTCTACAACTTCATGCCAAGTCAAAACCAAACAAATAAATTGAAAAATGGAAGGAGTCATACTTTTACCTTTTTTACATGTAATTTAACTTATTTACCTCTAGGTGTAAGTTTGCGACAAATCTACTAAGTGCCCGTTTGGATTGACTTATTTTAAGTATTTTTAAGCCAAGATATTTTTAAAGAACTATTGTAGTATATGTGTAAAACAAAAAAGTGCTATTAAGTGGTGCATGCAGTGTGGCAAATCAAAAATAGTATGACTTTTGGCTTATAAGCTAAAAGCCCAGAGCCAATCCAAACAGGCTATAAACATATTTCTAACATAACTTTTACCTCATTGAGTTCTAAGTTATCATTAACCTTTATGTATCAAAAAGAGAGTGATACCCGATTTTCTAGATTTTCCACACTGCATGCACCACTTACACATTCTACAATTCCAATAAGCAGAACTTAAAGACAGCATGCAAAAATTCTTTACCTGCATCCTCTCAGAGGACATCAACTGATGAATTAATTCACGATTTGGCATCATATCCCCATTATGAGAGTTGGGGTCGAGCTCCATAATCTAACCACCAAGATACTCAAGAAATGAGAAGCTTGACAAGAAATTCTCCATCACAATCAACAAAAAAAGAAATCAGGAGAAAAAAGAATAAAACCTTAAACTCGATGACTGTTTGTAAGCTTTAGTACAAATTAAATAAATAAATACCTGGTTTATGTGCTGCATTATCTGCGAGATGGATGGGTATCCTATTAACTGATTTTCAGAAGAGGCGCCAGGTATGCCACCTAGCATTCGCTGCAAATCTGCTATGTCATCCAAACCACCAGGAGAGGGTCCCCAAATATTCCTAGAAGTATTTGATCTGGGAGAGGTATTCATTTGGGCACCTCCAACTGCAAAATAGAGAAAAAAGACAATACCCCGCTTATCAAAAGTAGTTGAAAAAGGGGGAAGGGGGGAAGCAAGATAATGAATGCTACATATATAGTTAAAAGTATAAAATTGATTTTAAGAAATCCTGACAAAATTATGCTTAACTTTGAAATATTTTTACCAGAGAAAAACAAAGAAAAAAAGTAGCTACAGAGAACAGGTGTTCAAATATTCAAGTTCTAAGCACAAATTGCATGAGTATCATGACTTCATGGCACCCAAGCAGTGAAGATGCATGAAAGCATCTCCAGAACGAGAAATAAGAAAGAGATAAAAAGTTTCTTTTAATAAGCAGAAGACCCTGGTGAACAAGATAGGAGATGAAGTAACAAGGTTAAATCTAGCGGCAAATAGAATTAGATCCACAAACTTGCTAGAAACTTACAGTCAGCTGATGCCCAAGGATCCGAAAGTGGGTTCGAGTTTGGAGCAGGAGGATTAGCAGTTGTATCAGAACAAGTAGCTGGAGGGTTAGTTGACCGGCTTCTGCCTTGTTCCTGGGCTCCCAAAAGAGCCACGAACGGGTTGATCCCTGAATCATTTCTTGTATCTCCAGCCATGCTTGTTGCATTCAGAAATGGCTCTTGGACATCCACATACATGTGCCTTAGCATGTTAGATTCCTCAGGAGACGATTCAGTGTGGCTCAATGACCATTGAATAGTTCTTATCGTCTCATGCATGAGTTCATTACGTGCAGCCTCCCATATCTGGAGAAATATAGCAGGGTCATTGAATATGTGTGGAAGCTCGGGATTAAGATTCACATACTCTCGCATTTGAGGACTGTTCACGATAAAGTTGCAGATGATTCCTGGGTCATTCACTAGATCCTGAACTAGAGGCATATTCAATATCTCTCTCATCATGATGGAGTCATGTTGTTGGACCTGCTCAAAATCTGGAAGTCCAGCTCCAAACGAACCACCTCTTTTTCCAAGTCTAGAAAAGAGTGGACCTCTACCGACCCTGACAAACAGCCCCCCTGTAGTGGGAACATCAACCCTGGGAGCATCCTGATTAGCATTTGGATTTACAACATTGGTTGCACTAGCAGAAGCAGCTACGGCAGAACCTCGAATAAGATGAACTGTTTGGTCTGCCTCCAGACCTGCTCGCCACAAATATTAAAATTAAACTTACTATGATTCTTATTCTGACAGCTGATAACATGCAACAAGAGAGCAGATAAAATAGAAGCTCCATGCATCTTGATAGTATAAGATTCCAAAGCTCAATCCAGAATGTTATGTGGTTATAAGTAATCAATCATGAATCAGATCAACATAATTGGCATTAAGTAGCATCATGTTAAAGACAAGAGAATACATGCTAAATCAAATCTACGTAGTAAAATGGAAACTGAACTGCAACAAATATGCAGATTCCCTGCTATTGCAGATCCACGTACACAACTTCATACTCTACTAAAAGCCCAATAAACCCCAATACCACTGCATCATTCCTCTATATTACTTTTTCCCACCTATTTCTTATCCCAAGACAAAACATGCCAGATTAGGGAGTATATTGTAACAAATAAGCAAGACTTTAAATCTATTAGAATCGAAATTTGGTCCTAATGCATTAACACACAACTTATCGATTATTTCCATCTATTCTGGAAAGAGCACAAACAAAGAGGTTAAATTTGCACACAGAAATTAAATTTTCACTTCTAAATCGAGAAATTAAGGAATATTTTGTCAACGTAATCCTACCTATCAAGATGGAGCGAATGAGCTCATGACGTCAAGTATTGTACGTAGGAGTCGAATGTATGCTTTCAAAAATTACTACTCCCTTCAGTTCTAAGAATATCCACAATCTCAACACCCGCTAATAGTTCCAATGAATTATTTTCCAAAACTAGATTCTCCTCCATTTCAGGAAACAACTTCTATATGCATTATTTCTTTTTCATGTTAAAACAGTTCTCAATGCATTATTATCCAGAATGAACAAATAATTAAAATTACTCCTCAGAACAGGAAAATGCATTAGCATACAATCCCAAGCCAACCGAAGTACAGTTCTGTTCTCTACATTCAGTAATTAAAGCCAAAAAAGAATCTGAACTTTGAGATATTTAACATGCACCTCTATATAACATACAAGTTACAAAACATACAAATATTCTTTTAAATAATTATTTTTTAACAATATTTACAACATTAATATCACAAACCCTAACAAGTTCGTAATTGAGGTACATTTGATTGATTGATCAACAACATGAGTAATAAAAAGTAAACACAAATAATTCAGCATTACTAATAAAGTAGCAAAAAAATATTTAGACAAGAGTAATTAATTATTACCACAGCTTTTTAGGGTTTGATCATCCTTTAAGATCCGGCCGTTATAGATAACTTTCTGCTCCTCAGCAGGGATATCAGTTGGCTGGGAAATGATGAACTTGAATAATCCGACGGTGCAATCGAGGCTGACTTGAACAGATAACTCAGAGTCATTGACACATCGGATGTTGATGGTGACCGTTTTACCACCGACGGCGATGTCGCCGGAATCGTCTTTCACCGTTTGAGTAGTATCACCTCCGTCCATACTGAAATTCCGTCTCCTCAGCAACAAGTATGAAAAATGTGGATTGAATCGGTGAGAATGAGAGTAGAAGAAATTGAAGAGGTAGCTTAGCTCAGTGCATTTCACACTTAGGCGGAAAGAGCCAGAAGAGTGAAGTAACTGAAATTGTTTTGGTGTTTATATAAGAACAAAAACATTACACTACTTCCACGTGTTCATTCACATGTCATATTTGTTTATTTAATTTAATTAACTCACTTGATTAAATTTATTTTTATTTTATTTTTTTCTTTAAATCTCTTTTATGATGGTCGATTATTTTTTAGAGTGATATTTTTTTTATAATGAACTGATTTTCTTCAAAAAGTAAATATTTTTTTATATTATTTATTTTTGTATAGTACCATTCAACCTATAACAACGGTAGAATTCATTGTAACAGTATATTCTTTATAAAATCATAGGTTGGATTGAAAATAATTAAACCTAATATGTTGATTTATCAAAATTATAAACCAAAATACACTAAGATAAAATTGATTCTTCTATTTCAATTTTAATTAATTAGTTCTTTTGATTTTCTTTAAATTATACAATGATTATAAAAGAGATCAAATATATTTTTACTTTTACCTAGGTCATAGGTTTGGAACTTGTAAATTATAAATGTTAACTAAATGTGAAGTCCACTACTCGAGGCTAGAAGGGCAGAATCTTTTCTACCTATTGTATAAAAATAGGCTGAGATGACGAAGTGGATGCACCTTGATTTCCTCAAATTCCTTACTTAATGCCGCAATGAGTCTTCACCCCTGCCTTTAGAAGTGAAAGTCATCATATTATATTTGATTTTCACGTGTTTAGCTAACCATCTTCAAATTGAGCGGTTAATTTACATGACTACAAAATATTTTTATTGAAACATCAATATGAATGTCTGATAAGATTCAAGGCTATACTTATTTGGATACAAATTAAGATATTTACAAAGTAAATTGTTAAAATTTTTGACCTAATGTATTTGTGACATCCGTTTGACTACAAAATAAAAAAATTCATAAATGTTTACAAGATCAAATGATATATCTAAACATTGAAAAGTAAAAACTAATTTAAAATATATTAGCAACGAAGATAACAATAAAGAAAATTATGCATAGAAAGAATAAAATTATGGAAAAATTACATATATATACACACATTTTGTTTCCATAATTTTCATTATTCCCTACTATTTTAAAAAAAATTCAAAATCCATTATTTTGAGCACAACAATTTCTGGATACATAATTCTCACTCCCCATATTCTCCATGTTTATCACATTCTAATTTCACTCCACAAATCTCTCTCATTTTTTATTAGTGTGATCTTTTCAATTAATTTCTCCATTATGTTTATCACTTCATCCTAATTTGAATTTAAAATATTTATCTCTCCAGAAAATTAATTTGAAATTGTTTTATTATCTTAACTTTGTTTTTTTTTTCATCGTTTTTTCCATTTTTTCTGATTTTTTTTTAAATTTGTCCATGGTACTTATTTTTCATCTATATATTTGATAAATATATAAAAATTCTTTTAGTGTTGAGATTGCTCAATATATTGAAAATTGTATTTAATATTTAATCACTACAATATTTATTTTAAACACGTATCATCTTTATAACTTAATTCTTTTTTGTTGTGATATATAAATAACTACACTTTATCATATTTACACATAACACTTTGCGATCACTCTATATCAGATACATTATTATCAAACATAAAATCATACATTAAATAAATAATGTATTTGAAACATAATAGCTTGTACCAAATTCTTAAAATTTTATATAATTTTACCATGTGAACAAATTATTACCAATTAGAAATATAGATAAAACTGAAAATTGTAACATTTCAATTTATTGTATCAGAAATTAATAAGTTAACAATACTTTGTAATGTATATATTTGTAACAATGAAAAATTTATAAATTGAACTATTACAATTTGAAAATTATTAATCTGAAACATCACAATATTCTAAATAAAAACTTCCTCAACTATATTTCGAAAAAGAAAGTACAAGTTCTTCGATTGTTATCTTCTTATTAACAATGTCCACAACACTTTGTGTTTGTGGTTAGCTTTTCATCTGAATTTTTCTTTCTTCTTTTTCTTGGTCGTCCAGACATCCTTTTACATCTTTGTGGCAAGAAAATTTCTTCAAAAATGCATTCTGGAACTGACAAAATCGTCCTTATCCGGCATTGATTCTTTTATGTTCACAATTGTTGTACCTCAATTTGAATATATCTGATTTTTTTTAACACATGTCTTCAATCTCCAACAACAATCTTCAAAAAAATAAACTAATATATAGCTTTATGTGTACCATGTATAGTAAAAGAAGCATTGTTTCATGTATCATTTTCAATAAAAGATAAAGAAAAAAAAAGTTCAAGATACATTATTAACAGTATTCGTAATAGACCATAAATACAACCTAGGGGCTAACATATTATTGTTCACAACAAATCTTATGTGTCAGATACACATCAACTGACTTATATAAACTTTTCATATCTTTGTGACTTAATTACTCATGCATCTATAATGATACATTACAAAAAAAATAAGATGAACGAATTAATATATACCTGATACTTTATAATAACCACACATTGATACATAGATCTAAAAAAATCGAACACATATGCGACAAACTAGTAAGGTATCAAGTTGTAACTAACAATATATCATGACAAATACATTAATAAACACACTAAAAAAACAAACAAAAAAAAAGTGTATGACTTAATTACACATGGCTCCATAATGATACATTACAAAAATATAAGAAGAATGAATTTGCATATGTACATGATATTTTATAACAACCATAAATTGATACATAGATCTAATATTCAACACATATGCGAAAAAGTTGTAATGTATAAAGTTGTAACTAGAATGTATTTGTAACGACCTGCTAGGTCGTTTTGAGAACTAGGACTAGTTTGACTCCTTTTGGAAAATTAAAGGGGGATATTTTAACTATTGATAACTACAAGTACCTAGTTGATGAAACTTTATTTAATATAAGTAATATAGATAATAGATTAGTGGGGTTTCACAGTTAACAAACTCTTGTTCAGAAAATAAAGGGGTGGAGGCAGAAACTTACTGTAAGCGACGAACGAGAGGAAAAACAATAAGAATTGCTCAGGTAAACGCAAGAAATTTTCATTCTTTCTCAGTTCTGCATATTAAAATAGGTTGTCAGAGGGCATTAGATTGTTGTTATTAGTATATTCTTAGGTTGTTTATTAAGGGTGTTTTTTTTTCATGGGTAAGATGTAGTGTATAGTGAGTTGAGAATTCATTTATTATCACGGATTGGGATCTCTAGGGACGTTAGTATGGTTATTAGGTGATAGTCTAATAAAATCCTAATCGCTAGACGTATTGTGAAAATCTGGGAATTTGATCTGCAAATTCCCTCCCGTATAATTAACTGTTGCATAAGAATGATGGGTGAATCATTTGGACCTGCGCTAATGCATACAACATTCTTGACGAAACAGCAGTAGCGTGTGTCCGCAAAAGATTCTTGTTTGCTTCCTCTCTTTTCCAATCATACCCATATCTAAGCAAGAAGAACTGTTAAATACTGAGTATAGAAACGTCAAAACCTTGACAAGTGTGAGTGACATTGAATACCATACCCCCTAGATTGGTAACCACCAGATTCATGAATTTCTTTTACCCGCTCAACATAATCTTCTGGAAGCATCTTTGTAGAGGGAGGTACTATATTCAAACAATTACATATCTTAACAATTTTTACTAGAGAACATGACAGTGCACAAATAACCATTAGCTATAACAAGAGAAGACTCCTAAATG